AGCAAGCGCACGATACAACTCACCGGAAATTGTGGCAGGGTCGAGGTCATAAGAGTTCTCTAAAAGGAGGACAATAAAACAAAATCGGGTCCTTACAGTGATCACGGGAATAGCAAGAGAAAATGAAAAGAATGTTACTACACTTGTATGCATTATGAGCTTGTCAGCGATTAATGAATTTCGCTTCTCGGTATCTCACTGTACGGTGATGATAATGATAATGACCTCGTACCTTTACTCTGCTATAAATGTATAATGTAATCAATTGTAGATTTGCCGTCTGAGATCATTTAGACTAAACACGCTGCAAAAATTCTGACTTCATATCCCTTTCTCTGCCCACTTTGCGTACCGTGCCGAATACATCGTAATAAACACCACTAGTTAAACAAAACGTCTGTATTGGAGAAGGAGGTTAGTAGCTTAGTCCCCAAGATCTATAAAATAAATCACAGTGACCACGAATTCGTCCGTTCATCCGGTCGTCTGAATTCACCAAAGTGTTCGATATCCGAAATGGACGAAATTCATTAGTCTCATCTGCGTGTAATTTATCTAAACAAACCTCTGCCCTGGCGATTGACTTCATTCCGGTTTTTAGCCACACAATGGTGTGTAAAGCCTATATAGTGTTCACAGATTTTCTCCGTGTATTGTTCCACAGGAACAAATAAGTAAATGCACTATTGATAGTTCCATGATGTATCTGGCATGTTTATGGATGAGTAAACCCCAGTTATTTTATCATTTTGTTCAGCATATAATCAAGGAAAAATGGCGACACTTACTACCCCGTGAGAGTGGTGGTTGTTTACTCTAAAGATACGGCCCATTTGACCAATCGGTTACCTGCAGTAGCCAAAGCTCCAATAATGATGCCTAAATCACTGCCATTTTGTGATTTAAAGTGCTACTTTGAACCTGTTTGTTCCAGCACCTTTTTATCGGCACTAATAATCCTATAGCTAACTTTGGTATGCGTCCAGATGTTCCAGTTCATTTCACTTTTATTCAGTGGGTCCACACAGACTTCCTAAACCATTGATCTCATGATACATTTCCCCCTTTCCTCTTACAGATGTCTTCTTTGAAAGAACAAAGCATCAAGGTATGCTGTTCCACGGGAACACCACATGCCGTTGGTGGCTGCGGTGAATACTCACCTTGTGGTCGGATTATTCAGCTGCCGGATAATGGTCCATCCGCTTATTTCACTGCCCCGCCGGGTGGTGCTCCCACCAATAAGAGCGCTCTAGTGGTAATGTACGACATTTTCGGTTTGGATATTATACCAACGCGTCGTTTTGTCGACATACTTGCTGCCAAGACTAACATGCGTGTGGTGATGCCGGATGTGTTTCGTGGAAAACCGTGGCCAATGGAAAAANGACAGAGACCGCTGGTGGGTGGGATGTCGTATCTAAAGTGAGTGATTATGTAGTGGGCATCAATTCAAAGTTAAAAATAGCACGAATGTGTCTACGCAATCTGGAGGGGTACCCCATTAGCCCCCCTTGGTATGTTGTATTACATGACGCATACTTCGTATCATTTGGTTTCCCTAAAACCAAATCGATGGAGTTCTATTCGGCAATCTCGCTTATTTTGGCAACGAAATAACTTACATCTTTTCCCAGTGAAGATCATGCGGCTCCATTCACGCGCCCTAAATTAGTTCCTGTGGCGTTTGACATTTTGTGTGAATTTCCCCTTGTTCCCTCATATAAATGCCTAAATTTCATATTCAAGGGAACTTAATGCTTGCAAAGAGATACAGTATTTTCAACCCTCAGATGCGCACAAATGAGATGGTTTTCGGTTTCAGTTTGTAACACCATTTAACATGGAATTGCGGTCTACGGTTTTAGCTTCTGGCTGAATGAAGTAGTATAAGGAGGATTGGAAAGTGTCTAAAAGAAAATCGGAAATTCCGACTGACAAAGGTTGTTAAACAAATAACAAGATGCATGAGCGCCGCTGTTAGCGACCGTGGACCATATCACTCAGTATCCCTAATCATTCCGAGGTCCCCATCCAGGGAGCCTGACGCGACCCAAAAGACCGAGTCTTATATTACGTCTTTATTTTAACACCTATGACTTTTTCTACCCACTGTCTACCTTTACAAACAACATTAGTCACGATAACCCTCCTGGTGGCATGAGTAGCACATGCCTCAACCAGTTCCGTCTACGGAGGTCGACCACTTGCTTCAATGGACGCTCGCGGTTACCTAAAACTGTACCCAACTTCAGCATTGCTTGTCCGGTTACCCCACCATAATTGTGCAATGCGGCGTAGACAGTTGGAAGTATTACTGAATCGGGGGACAGCAAATCAGTCTATCATCGAATTCAAGTGACAAGAGCAGGGCTTCAATTTTATGACCCGATAGATCGATACACCTCAGTGGTACCGCCTTAAACTAATATGATCTTAATAGTTTGCTTTTGGTGCTCATCGAATCGGATATTTTGAGTCCATTGCACTCTATTTATCATTTGCGCTATCAATATTTAATCGACTAGGTCTTTTTTTAATCCGTACGTTTTCGCTTCATAAAACTCCTCACTCTCTTGTATTAGGAGACGAGGTGACTTTCCACGAGAATTTTCATTGTCAATATCCCACAGATATCAGTCAGTGCAGTTCAGTCCTTTTCCCGTCATCCATTAATTCAAGCACACAGACGGACCCAATGGTCTCCGCACGTCAGCTGGTTGTTAGGTAAAAAGTCTATTTTTACCTAAAACTGCCTATTTTTCGAGTATTTTCAATTAGGGGCATCTCGAATCAATACTAATCTCGCGGAGATTAATCAATGATGTTGCGTCATACGGAAACATTCACTCTGTCCGTCTGGTCCCTGACCTATGACCGATTGAACTTTGCTGACTGTGTACTTGATTGGCACAATCTTTTTCTTGCACTAATCGATGCTATTTTGAGTCACATAAGCATCGGAGTAAAACTTGTAAATTGACTTGCTTTCTGTGTGTCAAGTACACGTTCGATGTACACCATCTGTGTTCATGCTTACGTAGCTGGGAGAACGCTACTAGTGCTCGTGGCGTCCAATCTGTGCTGTGATCGTACTCGTGGGGCTAGACGATTAGTGTGGCCGTTGAGGTACGTGTGTTCCCTGTCATTGTGTGATATCTTATTGTGTGTACATTGTGATCAATCGGGATTCGGACACAACACTGGTTCAGTCGGTCGTCAGATAGTAGAAGCGTGTTAATCACGGCAGTGGTTTTGGGACCTCGGCAATCACCTGCTCGTCGAGCTTAACAGTCCGGATAATCGTCGACTGGGGGTTTTCGGTTATCGATGCATACACATTGCGATCCAAGTTGGATAGCGTGAGCATGATAGCAATCTAGAGGCCAGCCGTTTGCGTTCGTGAATTTATCAGGGAAATATTTGCTCTTATCGAATCCAGTTTAATAGGCTTCACTGTCTTGGGCATGTATTTCGCTTACCCAGCGGTCATCTACCGCCAACCAGAGGTATCATCACCACGAAACCTCACCTTGACGTGGCCTGTTAGATCGTGTGCCTCCATAACCCTGCAAGCTAGCCAGGATGGCTACTCACAGTCACAGATCCAATCATGCTTGAAAGATTAAAGTCAAAGCCAAAGAGTTATTATGAGATTTACTCACAAGCTCATGCCTCTCTTGTCCCCAAGGATATTTACACATTTGAAATGTTTCTCGGCCAAAAAAATTGGCACATAGAGTTCCATGTAGGAGATGACTGCCAGGGGCGCAGACCGGAAATGGAGCAGCTTACTCTATGCACCGATTGAACATTTCCGAACCACACGACAATAGCAACAATAAAAACTGCCCTCATTTCCAAACCACACATCACAAGATCACAATCAATCAATCATATTCATCACATCTGACCATTACACTAATTTGATAACTTTGAATCCTATATATAACTGTACTAGCCTGAGGAGGAAGTTATCGAAAACAAGCTTTGTTCGCTACGGTGTTTTCTTGATGTCATGATGGGAATACTCAATGGATGTCGTCTTCAACGAATTTGCGTCTAATTAGGTGTGTAAGAGTGTGAGGTGTACCCGAGTTTCATCGAGTCTCCGCTTGAAAGATTCAACAGTTGGTGCACAAACGACGTGAGATGAAAGGGTGTTCCAAGTACTTCATACCCTGACTGCAAAAGATCGGCGCCGGCATTCCAGTCGACCCTTTAGAATCATTAACTTGAAACGATGTCTCCTAAAGTGTATATTGTTCGATAACATGAGCAGCGGCCGACGTGGGTGGTTTGGGTTCTACAGTACTTGATACGTCAAAATCAAGTCTCCTCGAATTTGGCGGTACTGAGCAGAATATAGTCCCAATGATCGTAATCTCTCCTCGTAGTTAAGGTAATGCAGTCTCTTAACAATCTTGGTGGCCATCCTTTATAGATGCTCAATCATATTGCGATCTCGTTGCGATCATGGGCTTCAAGCTTGGATGGTGTATTATGTGTACGGTTGAATGTACACTGATAACAAACGTGGGAACAGTGCTGATTCAAACCGACCAAAGACTCGCCTAAGCATGTCGATATTTTTCACTGCCGCGGGTATGAAAACCCTAACCAGGAGTCTAGGTCACACAGGTCCCGTTAGGCTCCCTGGATGGGGACCTCGTGATGGTCGTACCCGATGGTAAGAGACACTGAGTGATATAGCTGGGTGTCATTAACAGTGGCTTTCGTGCATCTCAGTTTCTCTGTATCATTATTCCACTGAACTTTTCAATCTTCTCTTCGATCCTACTTTCAACCTTTCCTGTCTTTCTCCTAATGTTCATCCGAATGGGCAGCCGAAAGGTAGCAACCAAAACCGGCGCACGATAGTGCATGGTTAATAGTTGTGCAAACTGAAACAGCCGCGGACGAAGCCTTAGCGCAATTGATCGAGCAGCTTAAGCCCTCTTGAACGACTATACCTAAGTCCTTTTCACTTAAATTATGTGGTAGCTTCTGATTCCCAAGGAAAAACGGGAATCTTCTCTTGGGGCGTAGGGATAAGACTTGGCATTTAGAAACCTTAAGTTCAATGTCATTTTCCTTAGACCATTGATAAGCTGCGTTAAGTGCGTCTTGAAGAGCCCTCGGGTTCTGTTACTGTATTCCAGGTTTTGGCGTCCTCTGTAAACAGTATTGTTTTTGGACCTAACACGCCACTGCTGTCGGTTAGTTGCCATATTCTTCATTGTCTCCAGCCAGCCAGTTGCAGAGTCTTTAGGACCCCAGCCTGGAAGACGGGAGAAACCTATTCTACCTAATCGCTCTGTGCATTTTTCGTGCTCCTTTTCCACGTCATCTGTTGACCTGCATGTGGTTTCTTCCAACTTGGAGCCGAAGCTGCGACCAAGGAGCAAGGCGGTAGACGATAGTTGGGTTTGTGCAATATATGTCCTAACCAGCGAAGCCGCTAATCCGAATTCTGTGTAATGACGAATTTTCCTCTGAATCATCACCAAATACGCGCTGCCTTACCTCAGTTGCTTACACCCTTGCTCCATCCAATCCGCGCCAAACTACGTAAACATCAGTACTCTAAGACTTCTAAACGATGAATATCTTCCACGCGCATATTTTAGGGTCTCGCAACCATAGAGCAGAACTGATCGCACCCTGGCGCAGTATACACGACCTTCCAGTTTCGACAAAGCATCACGGGGTAGATGACACCCAATGTTGTGGCATCACTTTGCACTTTGAAGGTTCAAAGCACATGCCGAACGGAGCAACAGAACTTGCTAATCTGGTAAGTGCTCTTTGTGCATCCTCTATACATCCAAACAAGCAAACGATGTCGTCAGCGTACTCCAAATCGCACATCTTTTCTCCAGCTGCCCATTCAATACCTGTATTTTTTAGACCACTTAAGGCGTTCTGCAGAATTTTGTCTACCACTAAATTGATCAGGAATGGCGAAATAGGGCACCCATGAAGTACGTTGCTCCTGGTGTCGAACGATTTGCTTATCCGATCGTAGATCCTAACGCCATCAGAAGCATGGAGATAAAACGACCGCAACAGGTTTGCATATCTCGGCGGCGTTTATTTGCGAAGCAAGAGCTTCACGGTCAGCTGAATTGAAGGCGCCTTTTANGTCAGCTGAATTGAAGGCGCCTTTTAGACCAAGAAATACTGTAATTGTTGGCCGACGATCTGTGTGGCGCGTTTCGATGATGTGGTGCAGAGGAAAAGCTCGGTCGATGCAACCGCACCCTGATCAGAATCCTGCTTGCTGTTCGCGGACATTCATCTCCCTTAATAGTGTGAGGCGGTGAAGTATCACAGAAGGCAACACTGTGATTATCGGAACTAAACTATTCCCGCGGTGGTTTGCACAGTCGTTGCCTGATCGCTTCCTGAGGATCGGAACCATCAACTATTCACCCCAGGATAAAGTAATACGCTCCTCCGAATAAATGCTGCGAAATAAGCTAGTAATCGAGTTGACGAGAGAGTCACCACCTAGCTTGAAAAGAATGAAACGAAGCCCATCAGGTCCTGCTGCTTTCCCTTTATCAATTGAATGCAGCTTCGTACTTCTGTGGAGGGCTCACTTGTTACCACCCATGTAGTTTCCGCAGAAATCACCACATTGGCACTGGCCCAATTTAACTGTTCACTAAAATACTCTGCCCAGGGAACCATTGGTTCTTTATTTTAGATACTCTGACCACTTTTATGGCAAATGGTCTCATTGACCGCTATGCGTCGACCTCCGGTGCTGTTTCAGGTGAAACAGTCTTTGACTACACCCTTATTAAAATGCTACTTCTGTCACTGGCTATTTGGGCCCACCAGTTTTCACAATCTTTCTTTAGGCTTTACCTAAGTTGACGTTGCAGGCACCACCGGTCCCTACGGTGATCCTGGCAGATTGGGATCTTTCGCTTTTGTTCCATCAGGATTACTGACTCTTGGTAGATGCAGTGTCTTCGGTGAACTTCGGCCTCAGTCCAGATCCGATGTCCTGTCACACTTCACTCTTCGTGTGTCAGACTATTCGGCATCCGAAGCTCGCGGTCTTGCTGGTGTTGGGATTGCGCCAAGTGTTAAGATCGCGCGTTCACTTGACTGGGTTCCGGTAATTAGCTTACCGTTCGCTGTCCGTATCAACGGTTCAGTACGGGTCAACAGCTACTGAACGAAGCGTCTGTACCTATTCGTCGTATCCGTGTTTGCACCGATCGATTGCAGTTAGCCAGAAATGAAGGATGAATTCTGCAAGGACCTCTCTCAACTGCTACAAAGTGCTCGATTAACGAACATCGTGGTGGTCGCTGCAGACTTCCATCCTCAAGTGGGATCCCTGGGCGAGCCAAAAAATTTTCTTGATGGTACTCATGCAAACCCAGCCAACCGAACGGATAACTCTGCGCTGACCACGAATTGTGCCTGCCAAGCACCAACTTCTCGCGCACAAAACGATACTGCCCAACAATGAAACCGCCAACCTGTTCACAGCGATGGACTCCAGTCGACCACATCACCATTAGCTTCCGCCGGCGAGGATCTATTCAAGACTGGTCCACACCCGTGGACACGGACCGTGCTCGAATACGATTCAGATTCTCCCTGCGTCCGTGAACAGATGACCACAATACTAAATTAGCAATAAGTGCAAGTCGACCTTCGAAGCGGAACTCTCCGGTCTCCTTTCAGTTCAACCGTCCGCCGAAGGACTCAGTGAACGCTGTAAGAAAACCAAGGAAGCGATTCAAATGACAGTCAAAACAGCGGATTCATGTTCACGATCAAGACAAAAGCGATGTATCTCAACCTCGGCAGCTTTGTTGGACGTTCGCTACGCTATTCCTTATGATGCAGACTACGAAAAGGCGCACGAATCCCTTAAACGCCAGATCATCAAGAGTCTGAAAAATGATCGCGAGAAGTGGTGGATAGGGAAGCATAGAGGGATGAGGAAGGCTGCGGTTATCGGTAATAGTCGCAATCGTTTTCGTTTAACTAGGAATACGTCCCATAGGAAGTAAACGTAAGTGAAGGTAATTAAGGAGTTTGACGGCACGCTGATTGATATTCAGCAACAACGTTGTGATCGATGGCAGAAAATTTAAAGGCACAGCTCATCTGACCCCCGTCGACACAATACCTTGCTTCAAGTGGGCAAATACTGCCTGTAGAGATATCAGTTCTATATCGCAAATGGAGGTTTCCCGGGAAATCAGTCATTTGAAAATGTATGAGGCCTCCGGCCCGGACTGACCGTCCCCATCGGTTTTTGAGCGTTGGTCTTGGAGTTAACGAAACTCCTGAGAACAGCGCAGGAGAAAGGGGGAACAGGTTGCGACGGACTGGTTTGAATCGGTCATCTTACCAATTTACTGGAAAGGTGGCAGAAAACCACAGGGGAATTAGTTAACATTGTCCCTACGCTTCTCACTGGTGTTATACTCCATCGTTTGTCTGCCGCACTTAAACGGTGCACGATGAGAACCTGGCTGGGTTTAGAGCTGGTCGAGGTTGCGTAGACCACATTTTCACCACCCACCATTTCTATCTTCGTCGATCTGAAAACAACCTTCGACACAGTCGACCACTCTAAATTCCGGTGCTGCCTTTCCCTGAAGGATGTGTCTGGGAAGCTTTTTTCAATATTACAATCCGTTAATAACCGAAATCGAGTCCGAGCTTACGACACTTTGTACGAGTTCACCACAGAAAGTGATATTTATCACGGCTGCCCTCCCTCTCATTTTCCATTTAACTTTGCTATAGATTTGTTTATGGAAACAACTTTACCCTCGTGCTTGGATAGTGGCATCGATTTGCTCGCAGATGGCAAACTGTCTGATCTAGAGTGTGTAGACGATATTGTGCTGCTGAGTGAAGATTCAGGTAAGTTGCAAGCTTTTTTGGATAGTTTGAGTGCTAGAATAGCCATTTTCGGTATACGTTTAGCCTCTTCAAAGCGTAAACTGTTGCTACAAGACTGGGTTAGTCCAGCACCCAGGCTCATCCTAACTAGGAAAGTAATAAGGCAAGTGAAATTTTTTTGTTATTTGGGCAGCTACATCCGGTGGACGCATCACGGATGAAGTTTCAGCTCGCGTACGGAACTCTCGGTTGACTTTTGTCAACCCCAGTGAAAACGAATTCTCCATCTTCACTTTGACTCTGCTTTCAGCATTCCACTCTTAATTATGCTCTCTTATCCAAATGGGGAACAAAAACCTGCTCATGAAAATCCATCCCTGATGATAATGGCAACTTGAAACTTTCATTACGACGTCCACAAGACTAACTGGTTGAGTGGAAAGCCTGAAGGATTTGCACCTAACCGACAGTAGTGGATTTCTTATTGCGACATCTTATGAGGTCAGAATACTTCAAAAGACATGCAGCGTAAGTTCATCAAATGGGCCCAATCCTTGTTCGCCTTGCACATACGTTGCATACGTTGCGAGTTTAGCAGCTATCGTTGAAGTATGTGGATAGAGAAGCAGGTGGAGTACTATGGTTAAACAAAAGAAAAACAGAAGTATATGTGTATGCATCAGGGATTCGTGGTCGATTCACTGGCATTTATTCTATGTCATTTTACTTTGCGAGAACCAATACCGTAGTTCACTTAAAAAGACTCACCCGTATTTTCGGTGGAATAATTTACCCAAAGACTATTTTTGAGTCATCAACGGCAAGACTCACTCAGGTTAAACATCGATCTATTTTTCTAAGTAAACTGATGGTATTGTTTTCCTTTGTTTGTCTCTACTTCAGATCCTTCTTTTTTCATAATTTCTATTGGTTTTTCTTGTCTTCTAACCAGGACATCGTTTCTTCTCACAAATTTTTGTTGTCAGAGGGACTGGAGAAGTCCGCACCTCTGGGCATTCTCGGATTTTGTTGGGGTGGATTACGGGCAATGCACGCCTGTTCCGGTGAAACTCGAGCTCAATCTTTGGGTGATTGTCGCATAGCTGCTGGAGTCGTGCTCCACGGATCATTTCTAAGCCCGGAAGACGCTGAACATATCACCGTTCCGGTGTTTTTTATGCCCGCGGGGAGTGATCCAGACCTTGGACCAATCAAAGCAGTGTTAGATCGGAAGCCTTTCGGCGCTCAATGCGGACTCAGACGTTTTGATGGTGAGGTTCACGGCTTTGCTTCAGCTCGAGGTGACTGGACTGTAGATCATACGCGAGAGGCAATAATAGAGGCCATCCAGTTATCCTCCGATTTCTTTCTGCGTCATCTGCCAAAATAAAGTGTGAACTGCTCGGCTTTGGCCAAAATACCTTTTTTGATCTGATTTATTTGATGTTTTGTAGACAGAGGGACTAATACTTGTTTGATTATGACTACTGCTTTACATATATTTACTTATGAAAGATGCTTTTTATTATAATAAATATTTGTGCGCAAGTTGTGATTACCATATTTGATAAAAGAATCTTCAACATAATTGATTTGCTTTTAGGCAACTTTTAAGGCGAACACCGAGAAAATTCGACAGCGTTGAGATGACCCAGGCTGAAAATGTGCAATGGTTATTGCCACATTGTGTGTAGACAAAGTTTCATCATTGTTCTGTGAAATACCAAATGCCAAACTTGCAATGTATACAAGGTTAATGGTGAAATATAAGAGCTGGACAGGGATTGGACCTATTTTGAGGTAGGAGGAAGGTGAACTTCTATCCAAATGTATCTACATACCGTTTGAAGCATTCTGACATGATAAGAAATGACAAAAAGAACACCACTGCTGACGGTTCACTGCCATATCCTTCAATGTCTCCAACCAACTAGTTGCGGAGTCCATACCCCAACCTGGAAGGCGCGTGACACCTACTCTGTGTATTTCTTCATGCCTCGTCTCCAGGTCATCTGTTGACCTCCATGTGCTCTCCTCCATCCCGGAGCGGTTACAGCGAATAAAGTGCAGTGCGGTAGATGACAGCTGGGCATACGCAATACGCGCCCTAGCCAGCGAAGC